TTGCCTTTTTATTGACGTATAGTTAACTTACAATGTTGTGTTAGTTCCAGGTGTACAGCAAAGTGATTCAGTTTTATATATATATATATTTCAGATTATTTTCCATTATAGGTTATTACAAGATACTAAACATAGTTCCCTGTGCTATGTAGTAGGTCCTTGCTGTTTGTCTATTTTGTGTATAGTAGTTTGTATCTGTTAATCCCATACTCCTAATCTATCCCTCCTCCCTCCCTTTCCCCTTGGTAACCATAAGTGTGTTTTCTCGGTCTGAGTCTGTTTCTATTTTGTATATAGATTAATTTGTATTATTTTTTAGGTTCCACATTTAAGTGATGTCATGTAATATTTGTCTTTCTCTGTCTGACTTCACTAAGTATAATATTCTCTTAGGTCCATGCATGTTGCTGCAAATGGCAAAATTTCATTCTTTTTTATGGCTTAGTAGTATTCCATCACTCACACACACACATACACACAAGCACACGTATGTATGTATATATATACATACCATATCTTCTTAAGCCAGTCGTCTGTTGATGGGCACTTGAGTTGTTTCCATCACATAGGTTCTTTAGTTCTGTGAACACGCAATTCAGCATTTCAAATTATGGTATAAAGAAGTGTTATGGGCTTAATTTTATGCCCTCAAATTCATATACTGAGGCCCTGACCCCAAAGTACCTCAGAATGTAACTGCATTTGGAAATAGAGCCCATAAAGAAGTAAGGTAAAATGAGGTCATTAGGATGGCCCTAATCCAATCTGACTGGTGTCCTTATAAAAAGAGGAAATTTGGAGACACGCACAGACACCAGAGATGCCTGAACACAGAGGAAGGACCAGGTGAGCCCACAGCGAGCAGGCAGCCATCTACAAGATGAGGAGAGAGGCCTCAGGAGAAACCAACCTGCCAGCACCTTGATCTCAGACTTCCCAGCCTCCAGAGCTGCGAGAAAACACATTTCTGTTGTTTAAGCCACCCCGTCTGTGGTGCTTTGTTACGGCGGCCTGGCAGACTAGGACGGGGAGAGAATTCAGTTTTATCCCCATCTTTCCACCTCTTTTCATTTTCAGTGTCTTATTGCAGCCCCTTCTACACTTTTCTTATTGAACTTTTTTGGGGAATTAATGAGACTTTCAGATCAAATGCTGCCCTTTATCTTATACTTTCTTCTGGGCAAAGAATGAGGAGTCACTTTTTTACAGGTAAATGAGTAATAGTTTTATAAATGGTGTTTAGGACGATGACCGTTAGACTGGCTACCTCTGATAGATCTTTTCTTTTGTTCTGGGCCTTTTTGCTACTTTACACATCACCATTAAGAAATCCTTACTAACAAGGACCTACTGTATAGCACAGGGAACGCTACTCAATATTCTATTTTTTTTTTTTTTTTTTTTTTTTTTTTTTTTTTTTTTTTTTTTTTTTTTTTTTTTTTTTTTTTTTTTTTTTGCTACACTGCGTGGCACGTTGGATCTTAGTTCCCCGACCAAGGAGCGAACCCGTGCTCCCTGCAGTGGAAGCGCAGAGTCCCAGCCACTGAACAGCCAGGGAAGTCCCTCTCCTCAGTATTCTGTAATAACCTGAACGGGAAAAGGATTTGAAGAATAGATATATGTGTATGGATAACTGAATCACTGCGCTGTACACCTGAAACTGATGCAACATGCTGAATCAACTATACCCCAACATAAGAAAAAGAAAAGAAATCCTTGCGCGGTGGGTATTGCCATTCCGTCTGATGGATGAGAAAGTGGGGAAGCAGAGAGAGATGACACGAGCAAGGCCACGCAATGCAGATTTCGTGGATCCACAAAATCTACGTTCAGCAGCCGGTGACAGCACCTGGGCGGTTATGGGGCCTGGGATAGGCTGATTCCATACCCCTCCTCAGATTAGTCCAGGGTGTCCACGTGACCTGCCCTACCGAGCAGACTGTTCATTGTGGAATCCCTAACCCACTCTCGTTTTCCTCTCATTTAATGCAATCCAATAGCTCAGAGCACTCTGTCAGAGGTAGTTTATTTGGTCAAGACCCTTTAGGAATGGCAAAGATTTCCTGTGCAGAGATTTTATATAGGTGATGTGTGTGTGCTTGTGAAGGCAGATGGATGTTTAAGTGTGTGTGAGGCGAAGGACGGCAGACTCCAGGAGCCTGGGGACCACTCAGGGCTGTAACCCTCATTCCCGCACCAGCCGTCCGGCTCCTCCAGGCCTTCTGCGTTTCCCATTTACAGGGCCCTTTCACTGTTATGACACCTGTTTAAATCTGGTGTTTCCATTACGCAGGGCCTGGTAGGTGGCTGGAGTTGGCAGCCGGGCAGGGACCATGTGTGCAGCTCCCAACCTCAGGCAGATGCCCCTCCTCCCGCCACTTCTCGTGGAAAATCCATTTTTGGTGTTTTGTTTCAGTGAGAAAAGCATAAAAGTATTTTCAGGGGCCCCCATCTCCCCTACCCTTCTTGCTTGCAGCTAAAATTTCATCCTCTGAGGATGGGGGCCAAATCTCTTTTGAAACAAAGAAAGCACTAATGAAAACATTATTGTCTTCACATTTCTATTGGGAAAAAAAGATGATTTTTAAAGCACGTTATGTAGACTTTGTTCCGTGAAATTCCGTGACATTAGATTTGTATGGCAACAGCTTTCTGTGTCATCCCCCCCTAGAATTATCGACATCATCAAGCCAGGAGAGCTTTGCCGTAGACAGGGTGATGTCAGCTCCATTTAGCAGATAGGAAGCTGTTTACCAACATTTGTATCTATAAATGCTTATTTAAAAAAAAAATCAAAATTGAAATGTAACATGCATGTAGAAAAGTATATATTATTTTAAGTGACTAGCTTGATGAATTTTTATAAATTCATGTAGCCAGCGTTCAGATCCAGAATCAGAACATGCTGAGACCCCAGAGCCTCCCTTGTGCCCCTCCCTGGCAGCGCGCCTCAAAGAGCAACGTCAATCCTGGCGGTTTCTAACACCGTAGAATAAAGTAAGGTATCTTGCTCTCACTCTGTCCCTGTTTACCCCCTTCTTTCTACACCCTCAGCTAACTATATACTTTTCTTGGTTTCTTGTGAATCCTTGCAGATTTATGTGTTCAGGTAAATAAATAAAGGTGTATATTCTAAATTTTGCACTTTTCCAAGAGATAGCACCCCATCCTCACTCCACGACATCTTGCTGTATATCTTCCTTACGTCTCCCCACTCAGTCCTGCTACCCCTGCCCCTATGTATTGGGTTGAATATGGTCCCCCTCCCTCCCAAACTCGTGTCCCCTGGAACCTCAAAATATGTCTTTATTTGGAAACAAGGTCTTTTCTTTGAGGATGTAATTAGTTAAGAGGAGGTCACTGGTGGGGGGTGGGGAAGCGTAGGGTGGGCCCTAACGCCCATGGTTTCAGACTCAGAGACACAGACACACGGGAGAAAGCTGTGATGGTGGAAGCAGGAATCGGAGTGATGTCCCGACAAACTGTGGGCTGCCGGAAGCCGCCAGAAGCTGGAAGAGAAGCTGGAAGAGACAGAGAAGGATCCTTTCCTAGAGCCTCTGGAGGGAGTGCAGCCCTGCTGACACCTTCATCCTGGACTTTTAACCTCAGAACCAAGACAGTGAACTTCCGTCGTTTCCAGCCGCCCAGTTAGCGGCACTTCGTTTTGGAAGCTGTGGCACGCTAATACACTCTCCTGGCCCTCTCTCCTGAAGCGTGCGTCCGCCTCCCCGCTGTCTCGTCTTTACACCTTGGCGCGTTTTCCCCGTGGACTCAGCTGTCCCTCTAAAATGTGTGGGATCATGTCCCTCTATCAGAGTCCCCATTGTTTACCAGATGAAGTCCAAGCTTCTTGGCCTGGTGTCTGTCCCCGGTGCCGTCCCTTCTGCCTCACATCTTGCTCACCCCAGCCTCGCCCCTTCAACCCTGAGGTGGACACACATTGGCAGCTGCCAGCAGGGTGGCTGTGTCTGGATTGAAGGGCACTGGGGTGATACTGAATTTGATGCACGTAGATGGCTCTTCTGGGCTCCAGTGGTCCACCACTGTCCTCATGGCACCCTTCATGGAAGGGTTCTTGCACTTAAATTATTGATACTTTCCTGGCCTCCAAGGTGATCCAGGTTGCAGCCTTTGCTGAGAAATTCACAAACACAACTTGCTTCCGTGTGTGCCAGTACTGGGCCGTAGAGGGAAGGGCAGTAACCCAGAGCTGGACAGCTGGGTTTCTCCTGTCTGCTTGACCACTTACCAACAGAATGACCTTGAACAATTTATATTCTTACTCCATGCTTCAGTTTTCTCATCTGTCAAATGGGGATGAAAATAGTACCTATCTCATAGGTCTGTTGTGAGGAGTAGATGAGTTAATTCCTGTAGATGTTTCCAGAGGGCCTGGCCCCTAGTAAGAGCTCAAGAAGCTCTTGGCTGAGCTGGATTTCTCTCCTTCTGGTCTCTTCTGGCTTACTTTTTAAGGCTCAGAGCAGGCACCATCAGCTCTAGAAAGCCTTTTGGGACCTTCTCTGCTGGCATAATAATGCATTGTCTTCAATTAATCTGTTGAGGCCCTGAAGTTCTTGAGGGCATGCCCATTCCAGACCTCGGTCAACCCCATTCCTAGCATGGGACCTCGTAGGCCTTCAGTTTGGTGCTTTCTTAGGAAAAGAATGAGTAATGAATTGACTGTCTTCCCAGGTGTCACACAGTGGATCGTGCCAGGACTGTATTTCAGACTCTGAAGTCAGCTGAAAAGCCTTGTCTGGGGGCTTTTCTATGCCCACGGGAGGTGTGGGGAGCGTCTAAGCTCCGTGTGAGATCACGGTGATGGGAAGCAGGAAAGATCTTGGTGGAGAAGCAGCCTGCGGGCTGACTTAACAATTAAAGGGACTTGCCGCCGTCCCGAAGCTCCTGTGGGATCTGAGAGACCCGGGTCTTTTTTACTTGTATTTTTATTTATTTATTTGTTTATGTTTGGCCACGCCATGCAGGTTGTAGGATCTTAGTTCCCTGACCAGGGGTTGAACCTGGGCCCTCGCCAGTGGAAGTGTGGAGTCCTAACCACTGGACCACCAGGGAAATCCCAATTTTTGTTTATTTTAAAATTTTTAAAAAACATAAAATAACTTGGCTTTGAGTTTTTAAAATGACTACCTTATATATACATTAATCATCTGGACCCCTGATGTTCAAACTAGACTATAGTGATCAAGTGATGACTAATGGTTGGGTGACTTGGTCTATAGGAAACTGGTGGAAAAGAGAAACATTTCATCCTGAATTCTTTAGATTCTGATCTGTTCCCTACCTAGTTCGGCAAGTGAGGAAGGAGGGCGTCCTGGGGTGGGAACACTCTGCACCCAGGCTGGGCGTAGACACTGTTAGAACTCATCCCTGTGAACAACTCTTCACAACTGTGCATCTTACTGGGAGTCAAGCTCCATGAAATGGAGAAAATAGGCAAAAAAGGAAATGTAAAATAGAATGTTGGAAAAGGGGAGTTCTTGCACTGGAAATGCTCCCTACATCATTTTTTTTTTTTTCTTTTTTTGGCCGTGCCGCGTGGCTTGTGGGATCTTAGTTCCCCGACCAGGGATCGAACCTGTGCCCCCTGCAGTGGAAGCTCGGAGTCCTAACCACTGGACCGCCAGTGAAGTCCCGCTCCCTACTTGTTGTTTGTGCAACATTTCGTTGAAGAACAGGCCATGCGGATGCTTGGATGCTGTGATGCTGGCCTGGGTGACACACTGCACCACGGCCTTCATGGCACGGGCTGGGGCGAGTGGGGACCTGGGTTTTTCGATGGTGGGCCGAGCTCATTCCCAGCCCCACAGGGCCTCAAATAGGGCCATCTTTCCACAAAGCTCTGTAAAGCTTGGTGTCCATACCTTTCATGAATTTTAAGGAATCAGAGCTAATTTAAATATGCTTCAGTTTTTAGGTGATATTAAAAAAAAATTGGGTCAAGAAGAACTTCCTGCATCGACTTAGAGCCAGAAGGACCCTGAGAAGAGCTGTCAAGCAGTGCAAATACCCTGACAGTGATTGTTTTTTTAGGATTCTTTGGACAGTGAAGACTCAGTGACGGGCAGGCAGAAATTAAGATTCTTAAGTGCTGATTTTGGTTGCGTTGGTTTGTCCTGGAACTTAGAACAGGGCAGGCTGTTAACTCAGGGGGCTCAGTTTCCTGTAGTTAAAGATGCTTGGTTTCTCAATGCAGGCACTGAGAGTTAACGACTTTTGAATAAGGCCTGATGATCCACAAAAGAAAAAACCTCCTGGCCCTCCTGTTGGGCTTAGAAGTTAATAGTGAGTTCGGAAACGTTTTGTTTCAGCCGCTACTGTGGTTTCTTGTACCTAGGAGGTGCTCAATAAATATCTTGTGTTTTCCGTTCTATTGAGGATTATTAGGTCTTTGGATCTGAAACTCAGGACCCTGGCGAGGTTCTCCTGATTCTAGGTGGCTATTTCTGACAGAACGAAGGTTGTGTTTGCCCCTTGGGGGTGGGGGTGGGGCTGAGTGAAAGAAAAGTTCAGCATATCCTGTGATTAGACACTTAAGAGATCAGGAGTCCTTGGGACTTCCCTCGTGGTTCAGCGATTAAGACTCTGCGTTCCCAATGTAGGGGACCCGGGTTCGATCCCTGGTCAGGGAACTACAGCCCGCATGCCACAACTAAAGATCCCCCATGCCGCAAAGAAGATCGTACATGTCTCAACTAAGAACCAGCACAGCCAAATAAATAAATAAGTATTTTTTTAAAAAAGAGAGAGATCAGGAATCCTTCATACTTCAGAAACTTTATCTAATCTCATTGCCTCCTGGCCACACATAGAGCATCTGTAGCTGTACTGCCCATTGTGGTGGCCACTAGCTACATGGGGCTACTGCCCTTGAAATATGGGTGGTCTGATTTCTCCAAAGAAGACACACAGATGGCCAATAGGCACAGGAAAAGATGCTAAACATCGATAATTACTAGAGAAATGCAGATCAAAACTACAATGAGGTACCACCTCACGTCGGACAGTAGGACCATCATTAAAAAGTCTACAAATAACACATGATGGAGAGGATGTGGAGAAAAGGGAACCCTCCTACACTGTTGGTGGGAATGTAAATTGTATGCAGCCACAATGGAAGATAGTATGGAGTTCCTCAAAGAACTGAAAATAGAGTTGCCATATGATCTAGCAATCCCACTCCTGGGCATATACTCAGATAAAACTATAATTCGAAAAGTTACATGCACCCCCTATGTTCATAGCAGCACTATTCACAATAGCCAAGATATGGAAACATCCTAAATGTCCACTGACAGATGAATGGATAAAGAAGATGTGTACATATATATAAAAAAGAATGAAATAATGCCATTTGCAACACCATACATGGAAGATGGACCTAGAGATTATCATACTAAGCGGAGTAACCCAGAAAAAGACAAATACCGTATGATATCACTTATATGTGGAATCTAAAGTCCAATACAAATCAACATATCTACGAAACAACAGACTCACAGATACAGAGAACAGACTTGTGGTTGCCAAGGGAGAGGGGGGTAGGGGAGGGAAGGAATGGGAGTTTGAGATTAGCAGATGCAAACTATTATATAGAGGATGGATAAACAACAAGGTCCTATTGTATAGCACAGGGAACTACATTCAGTGTTCTGTGACAAACCATAATGGAAAAGAATATGAAAAAGAATGTATATATATATGTATAACTGAGTCACTTTGTTGTGCAGAAGAAATGAAGACGACATTGTAAATCAACTAGACTTCAATAAAATAAAATTTAAAAAAAGACATATGGGTGGTCTGAATTATTTGTGCTGTGAGCATAAACTGCAGCCCAGATTTCAAAAGCTGAGTAGAAAAGAGAAGAATGTAAGATATCTCATGAATAATTTTTATATTGATTTATTATATAATAATTTATTATATGTTAAAATAATATTGGTGATATACTGGGTTGAATAAAATAGGTTATTAATTTAACCTTTTCACTTTTTAAAAATGTAGCTACTAGAAAATTTAAGATGTTTTTTATTGGATAGACCCGGTCACCACGGCTGCTTTCGTATCTTCCCAGGATCACCTGCTAGAGTGGGTGGAAGTCTCTCTTATTTCAGGAATCTCTTAGTTTTGACGGGCTCTCCAAAGTGTGTTTGAAGCCAGGCTGTGGGGAAAATGACAAATGGAAGGGAGAGCGACTTACAAACAGTGAGTTTTCATAACCAGCTCCCTGGAAGGACAGAGGAATTTTCTCTGCAGCAAAATTAATTTAGGCAAATTTAGATGATCAGGTAGACACGCTAGCAGTACATATTATGGATAATAATAGCATTGCATATTTAATTGCTTAACTTCCTTTTAAAAGCTTAAGAATAAAGAAGTAAGAGTAGTCATAAAATCCTAAAATAGTTTAAGAGAAATTAATCATGAGTGTAAAAGCAGTAGCATAGTGAAGGAGCGGAGGTGCAGTGTATCATGATGAGATCTCATGCATTGCTTTGTCGTATCCATAACGGTCCATAGGTGTTGGGCTGTTCGGGGGAGGCATCCAAGATTGTGCCTGGTTGTAGTTGTTTTAGAGGGATGTTTCTCTGCCATCTCCACTCCTGCCCCATGGCCAGAATAATTCTTAGTCCTTGTATCATTAAACTGCATGGAGAAGAATGAACTTAATGCCTATTTGCGTGGCTTGCTGTTGGTTTCATGTTTATTTCCCTTGCTGTTGGTTGCTGATTTGTTTCTCCTGATCCATGCCAAAATCCTTGCAAGGAGAGATCTTGTTTTATATATATTTTTATTTATTTATTTATTTTTTTTATTTTTTATTATTTTATTTTATTTTATTTTATTTTATTTTATTTTTTTTTTTTTAACATCTTTATTGGGGTATAATTGCTTTACAATGGTGTGTTAGTTTCTGCTTTATAACAGAGTGAGTCAGTTATACATATATATATGTTCCCATATCTCTTCCCTCTTTGTCTCCCTCAGGAATCAGAGGTTGTTGGGAAGGTTGTTAAAACCCAAATTTGCAACTGGAATGCTTGCTGAAAGCACCTGGTTACCTCAGCAGTCAATATAAATTACAGAGGCTTTCGTCCTTATCCCCTCCTGGGGCACGTGGAGCACAGCCCTAAGGGAACTCCTATTACTCTTTTTTCCAGTGCTCCAGGAGACGTGCACATCTGTTGTTGACACATGTGGAACCTCAGCTCTCCCACCACCTCTCACACTGTTGATGTGATCATGATATTTTCAAACCTAAGGAAGGACCTCCAGGCAGAAAAAAAAAAAAAAAAAAGCAGATCATTCATTTTGTTTCTTATCTGCCCTCTTTCCCCTTCTGAACCCACTCTCTCCTTTCTTTTCACCATCACGCTCCCTGCTTTTTTTTCCTCTAAGGTATAGGTCACGTGGAGAAATCCTAAAAAAAATGCATGTTCAGCTGGCCTGGCTGCACCTTTTTTTTTTTAAACCAATAAAGCCTTGCCTTAACTGAGTGTCACTTTATTTATTTATTTTTATTTGGCCACCTCTCCCCTTCCTTCTGCACAGCCTCCTCTCACTAAGGCAGCCCCAGGGCTGGAAGGCCCTCACGTGATACCCAGTGGCTGGCTCACAGCACAGACTTGCCTTGGACAAGAGCCAGACCCAGGGTTGGAGCTGGGCAAACACTATTGCAGCAGGGAGCCGATTGGAAGGAGGCCCAGGGTGGAGTACCCATGGGCTCAGTGGAGGCCTGGTTTTACTTAAGATATTCCAAACAGTGAAGGGGGAGTAAACAGTCTGCTAATTAAATCTGGAGGTGGCAGAAAATTTGGAGGTGTTGCAAAGCCCTCTGCCCACAGAGGACGTTGGGAGAGCACAAAGAGCTGTAGAAAAGGTGAGGCAGGGCTTGGGGAGATGAGATTCTGCCTGGAAAAGTACAAGCCGCCATCTGGAGAGAAATTAGCCATGGTAGTGTGCTCTGTGGGGTGTAAGTCAGTGGCGCTGTGATTGACTTGGAGCCAGAACTGTTAAGTTCTGTTTCTTGTTCTTGATAGTCAGTAGTAATC